TATTGATCTAAATAAATTAAAAACGACCAAATTTTAATAGCCTTAATAAATGTATATATATTATGATTTTTATTTGAAAACTAATACAAACTACAATACAACATAGCGCCAATAATTAGGAAGTTACTTCATTTTCAAACTAAGTATAAATTATTATTTAATCATTTAAATATAATTGTATAGCTGTAAATTAATGTTATAGAGTCAGAGATCAYAATGATGCAATAATGTGATTGCAAGTGAATATAATACATGTTCATGTAGCCATATACTGATATACTCATATCCTATAACTATTTCTCTCTACATTCATATATTATTTAAGTCCCAATCTTTATCTCACACATTATGTTTTTAATTTTCCATCTGGTTATTATTTATATTGATGAATAATGAAAAATTGTTGTGCACAACCCAAATTAATCATACATCATCTATATTCCTATAGGTAATAGGTATATATGTRGTATGTACTCTATATTATATAATATAAGCATACAATTTTCAATAAAAATAACTAATACACAAACTGTTTATAACATTTATATTTTATGTAATATATATTCATCAGCTCATGAGTGCATTTATAACTTCATGAGACTATCATACCAAAACTATAATAAAATTAATGGTTTCAAAAACATAACCACATCTAATTATGTTGATAATTGATATTATTATTTTAAATTAATAATTAAAGATGCCACACGACATTTAAAATGTGATAACTGTAATTATAATGTCTTTTTCTAAAATTTATAACTGGGTACATAGGAATAATAGATCATTTAAACCAGATTAGGATGATGTGGCCAACGACTTATTAGTGACACAGTTATGTACTAATATGTAAGGTTGAGTAAAGGCAAAAACACAACATTATAAGGCAGTCTACAAACTCTATTACATCAATGTATAAACATAGTAAACATACATACTATATATAAGTAATAATATTCCGTAAAAATAAATAACTATAAGAATATTTAATATTTGTCAGGGCTAGATGTTGATCGAGCAAAAAAAATCCTCCACATAAAAAATCCTTTAATTTACACAATGTATGAGTGATAATAACAATAACATCACCATATGAATACAAGTAAAATTAATATAACAGAAATTTATCAAATTAACAAATATAACTTATGGGCTTAAAAAAAAAATAATAAAAATGTACACAAAATAGTGATGGTAACAATATTAACTAAAATGACAAACAACAATAACAGTAACTGAGCAATATATGGAAGACATACAATATATGGAAGACATATTTATGATTTATATATTATTATAAAAGTATATTACCAATATTATACTATACATAATGCAATCCAATAGTAACAATTTTAAGGGGATTTGTATAGGCAATTTTTAAAATGATAATTTAGATTTCATTATAATTGATACTTGAATGTTAATAACAATAAAAATGAATTTTTTACATAACATCCCGTAAATACATTTTTACAAAACATAATTTTATATACTATCAGCAACAACCCGTAAATATGAGTTATTTTTTGTTTTAATAATCTGTGTTAATATTATTAGATTATTTTTAAATGTGATATTGCGTCAATGTTTAAAATGGGCATTTTTTCAGATGTAAAATAAAAAAATCTTCACTTGTTTATAGTAAAAAATTTATTAAAAACAAAGTAAATAATTTGAATGTTTTAAACAAACATAAATAAATATAATGTATCTATTATAATACAACTACTATACAGCTTACCAAGGGCAACGGCAGAAATATAAGCCACCCTCTGGGCACTCCTGTAGCTTACAAGTACTATCAATCTATTAGATTGTAATCATAAATTATTCGCTCAATCAAATTATTGGTAACTACTGTTGACTGCTATGGTACCTTAAAATATATTATATAAAGTAGAGATGATTTATAAATTGTATTAAAATCTAATAAATACCTATAATTTACTAGTAGTACCCCCTGTTTAAAAGTACACATAATTAATAAATTAACAACAAATCTATGGGGGTTTGTTGTGTTAAAGACTAGTGATGAAAATAACAAACTTAAGAATGAAATTTAACCATACTATGTATCTATTAAATATTTAAAAACCCGCTTCAAACATAACTCTAAATCAGTGTTGCCTCCAGGATATTATGTGTACATTGACAAATATGCATAGTTGAAACAAATAATTGATCTAACAATATATAGGTTATTCATAGCATAACGTTACCAAACAAGTAAGAATACATGAAAAAACAATCTCATAGCCCGTAACCCGACATCAACGTCTTGGTACGCTCTACAGTCCAGAACATGACAGCTGATGCAGGAACAGTACGCAGTAAGGTGGGCGCAAGGCCGCGATACAAGGCCAGTGGGCCTTCTTTGCGCACAGACATTGCCATGGCTTTCAGGAAACCGCCACTTGAACTTTCGACTACACCACCGTCGCCACCAGCTGCTTGAATTCGAGATTTGATTGCATCCACCGGATACACGACCAGCCAGAGGCAAGCACCTGCCGCTGCGCCCGCCGTCATTGTTACCCAAGCTGGGTCCTCCTGGTGTTCCGCCAGCAATGTCGTTGAGGTTGCCAAAGAACCGTGATGCCAATCGTTCAARTAGGTGCGGCTTGCCTCATACGCTAGAAAGAACACATAGTAGCCGGGCATTTCGCGTGCTACTGTCGAGCCTAATCCCCGGTACATCCCTCGCAGACCCCCCTCAGTGGTCCACACTCGAGCCACAACTTGTAGTGTACCAGCCGCGGCGTTCTGCCGACGTCCTGCTGTGGTAGTGCAGTTGGCCCTGTCCAGATCGGCCGCCTGCAGACGGACTTTTATTAGCTCGGTGGGACATAGAGCGAACGCCGAGCAAAGCGACGCCAAACTGCCAGCCGTAGCCATGCCCGCGGGTCCCAGTTTTTTTTCTACGTCCACGACGGCAGTTCCGGTACCTGCTCCACCGAACAGATCTAATGCGAACGCCACCAACCGCTGGCAAGGACCATATGCCGCGAAAAGTACTCCGTTTTCGGCTACGTTGGCCAGTAGTGCGGGAGCCGTGCCGGCATACATGAGCCGGGCCATGCGTCCAGCCGCGGCTGCTTTGCTGGCTGGCTGACTGGTGGCCGTCAACGGGCACGCCTCGACGACGGCGGCTGCTGCGTTGTTCGTCAGTCGCCGAATATGGGGTGCCGGAGTCACCAGGGCTTGACGCCACATGTCGCGCACACAACCCCACATCGATACGCCACCACCACCGCCACCACTAGACGTCACAGCCTGAGTGGCCGTGGACAGTTGCATGCGCACTTTGACTGTGTCCAATGGTTGGCCCACGTACACGAGAGCAACGGCGCCGGCGCACCCGCTGACAAGACCAACCAGTGGCGAAGTCGTCGTCATCTTGTCCACCGGCTTATGCGTCGTCAGAAATTCGTCAGCAGCGGTGGCGACCGTAGTAGCACTACCAGTGACGACGGCCGCCGACATATTATTCGGTCGCGTTTTTCTCGCGGCCAACAGATCTCACCGTTTCGGCGACGGTGCCGGACAGACGATCTCGGTAGGTCTGGCGACCGTGTCGTAGCAGTCCACTAGTCCGTCTAGTCCGCGACTGCCGCAAGCAAACGATTAACGTGCGCACAGATGGACCAGCAGCGATAGCCTCCCGCCGTTTGTTCGAATAATAGCGACGACTATCGCTAAACGCATACGAGATAGATACGCGCRGAATAAACGTGATAACCGATAACGTTATCGCTATTCACCCGGTCACCGGGTGGGTACCATTAATTCGTCGTGTCGGTGGTCTCGTGTTCGCGTTAAGCCGTTATTCGTTAAGCGTGCGGCTATCAACTGTTCGTGTGCATAGATTTTACAATGCTGAGAGTACTTGCACGTAATCGAACAGTGAACGATGTTTTAGGCGCTGACACATATTATGTGTGTGACAACATCCGGAGATTTATGTCGATATCCAGATGACCGTCGCACAAATAATTAATCGATTGACGATAAGATATTAAAAMAACCGTCAAGTTTTGAACTTTTTAGGCACTCAGTAGTCTTGTCTTTCGCCAGCATGCCCGTGTCCGTGAGCAGCTATGGCACCGTGCTCGTAAGTCGTACGTCGTTGATAAAACATTACGGTAATCTCCATAGATAATAAAGAATTATATTATATTATTATATTATCTTTATTATCTATGGTWATCTCGGCTCGATGGGGTCTGATAACGTCGTCGGTGGCTGTGACGGTTACTACCAAAACCTCGGTAGTTTTCTGACGAACTGTATATCGGCAGTTGTCAAAAAATGTATAAGAGATTTTTTCTGATTCAATTTGAACATTTGAAGTGTTGCCTACGTTAAATAATAAAATGTTTGTACAGTCATAATCAAAAAAGAAAAAGTACCTATCATTAATGTTAATTAATATTTTATGTATTGATTTTTCTAGTACGTCGATATTCTTATGAAAAAAAAACCGTTTTTGATTTTCATATACTTATCATGTTAACATCACAAAATGGAATTCGAAAATCATTTTTTGTTTCATCATGATTATTGTATATCACMAGGTAAGAATTTATATTGTACTAGAATTTAAGAAATAACATTCTCTCTATGATTTGTAGTTGTAATGATTTTATTTTTTTTTAATAGAAAAAAACATTAAATTTTTGTTGCTGACCTAATGCACTGTACATTTGTACATTGATCTATTTATTAGAATATAATACATTCAAACAAATCATATTGATGATAGATTGGTTTTTGGGCAATATATAATTTAACGATACGCAATATATTAAAATATGCTAATAAAATAACAAATATACAATACAAACTACAAACATTTGCTAACTACTGAAAATAAAACATTAAAAATAGGAACATGCAATACAAGCTATAAAAAATGTATTATCATTATCTGTGAATTAATTTACATAATAATTATATGCTTAATTTTTTAAGATTACCATTTGGGCCATTATTCTCGGGTTGCTACTATTGCTACGATAATCTACTGTCACAATATAGTAATGTTCCGATCATATTACTCCGAACGTGAAATGTTACGWATACAATTAATCCGATATTATACTATTACGGTAAAAGGAATAAGGCTATATTAATCACTACCTATTTTTATATTAAACTGTAGTTTGTCAGCCAATGGTATATTAATTACCTATAACCTATAGGTTATATATATATCTATATTTTATCATAGTAGTCAGTGAGAGTGAGACAGTTAAAGATGTTTTAATAAATAAATACTAATACTAATACTTATTTACTAAATAAATAGATTTATATTGCCAATACTCAATAGTAATATTGATTATAAATTTAATATTAGTATTAATAAATAATAATAAATGGAAATATAATATAGTAATAATTATATTATTAGTTATAATATTGCTATATAGTATATCATGATGGTTATGGTGTATGGTATAATTTTTTTTTCAAAAACTATGCGTTTATTATAATATTACTACAATATTTGATTATGATCAGGGTTCAGCACTAAAAGAATTTATACATATATATCATGGATGTAGTAAAACATAGTATAGTGATATAAATATTAAATATACGTTTTATAGTATGGAGAATTCAAATATAAAACTTTATTTTACTTGTATTTTATATTTTYAATTGTTTTGTTGTATTGATGACTGACRCATGTTCAACGATTTTTAACAATTTATAGAATACCTAGATAATATAATTGTTCAAAATGTATTACCTAATTAAAATATTGAACGATTAATTACAAAACTTTGTTTTAAGCAAAATTTGTGCTAATTTGAAATAAAATATCGATAAAAAAAATAATTGTGCTAATTAATTTCTTACATCTTTTGGAATGAATGACAAAACTTATGCCTATTAAAATATTAAATTTTCAAATCTTAGCTTTTATAAGATTTTATGATATTTTTTTTTCAGATAATATGTTGCTCACGTAATTATATTCAGATAATTAAAATTAAGAAATTAATTTATATATAATAGCACTATATAATAGTACATAACGTCTTATTATAGTAGTAAATCATATTAAAAATCTACGAAATCTAAAACTACGAATTTAATTGAATTTTAGATYGTTTTAGGAGAAAACTTTATTGTAACGACGTCACATTGATATGGATAATTCAAGATACCTACCTAGTAATCATAATCTATACAGATTAATAATCCATTATTTTCAGATTATCRAGAAGACATTTTGAGTGACAATCGTATAGAAATATTATTGGGGCTTAGCCCTTAGATTATTAGTAGATTAAGGGGGAGAAATAAACTTGTTAATATTTAGACTCACCTAAAACCATCTATACTCCGTCATTTCAGAGTCATTCGTCTTAGTTGAAGTTTGATYTGTTCAGTCTATGCAAACGTATATATTAACGTATATTAACTTATATTACTTGTGTTTAGTAATTTTAATTTTCTTTCAATATTTGTTTAATTTTTTTTTTTTTTTTTTGAAAATCATTTTCCATAAATTTCCAGTATGRCAGGTAAGTGACAGATGTAGGCAATAGYCAAAAATATGTGGCCGTAACTGATATAACTATAAATTAATTTCTAAAAAGTGTAATGTAAATTATTTAAATTTTTAGAGAATCAAACAAATGTTAAATACCTTTAAGTTTAAGGGGTCGCTACACCAGCATTTGTTTTCTCTGTCTATGTCCCACATAATATATATAGGTAGGGACAAAGATACTCCGTATTTCCATGATTATGACTCTAGTTCAGTTTAGGGTAAAAGCACCTAATACCTATTATATATTTTATAAAGAAGAGTATTTCCCGTGCATTGGCCCGATAGATTTTTAATATTTACATTTTTTATTACTATATAAGCATGTTTGAATTTAAAATAATTTCGATTATTTTTAACCATTAATAATTTATTCAAAATTTTAAATATTAAAAATATATCCGGTCAATGCATAGGAAATATTCTTCTTTATAAAATATATAATACGTGCTTTTGTCTTAAACTGAACCAATGAGTCGTAATCATGGAAATACTGAGTATCTTTGTTCCTATATTATGTGGGAGATAGACAGAGAAACCAAATGCTGGTGTAGCGACCCCTTAAAAGATRTAGTACCCGTTGTGTTGTATCCATCTTACACACATGGGACATGGCAAATGTTCGTTCACCAGTTTCACAAATTATAAAATTCAAAATTAACAGCACGATATTGAAACTGGTGAACGAAAATTTGCTATGTCGCACGTGTGTAAAACGGAGACAACATATGGGTCTACGTCCTATTAAGATAAATATTTTTTTTTTTATTTGAAATACGTTGTTGTCCATAAAAATATAATTCCCCGATTTCATATACATCACTCATTCATTTTTTAATAATTACAATAATAAAAAAAATTGAGCTTTTATTGAGTTACATTCAGCACCTGATTTACCAATTCATAAGCCCAGTATAATTTACAATTTTGGGCCCAAAATTGTCCATTTCTATTTTTTTCAATGCCAAAATAAAATTTAAGCATAATAAATTTTTAAATTAATTGTAAATATAATTAGTTACTTRTAAATGAGTAATTGGATCATGGATCATAGAATACAATTTTATAGTCAAAAATATGATTATTTAGTATACAAGAACGCTTAACACTTTAACTGTGTCTAATTAATGTTTAATACGTATTCAAGTAAGTAGGTATACATATTAAAAAGTAAACGGTTTTTTTTTTTAAATAAAAATTAGTATCAGCTTTAAGGCCGTCGTTAAAAGCCATTATACTTTATAAACCCACTGTATAAAAAGAT